CTGTCAGGTTACCCAGGCCTAGACAGGAGAACGGTTAGGGTTCTCAACCAAAGCCTTTGATTCAAAAACCTTACCGCTAGACAGCGGGTTTGGCGTTGGGATACAAGGTGTCCGCTTTATGGAATGAGCCATCCTCATTCTAACCCCCAACCCGGAGGACCAGTAGGCTGGGTTTGTCTGGCCTCTAACCATTGACCAATCTGGTATGAGTGGCTCTGAAGGTGCAAAAAGATACCACCCAGCATAGCTCAACGGATCTGAGGCATGTAAACCATCGCATCACGGTAAGGTCCAGCCTCATTGCGATCTCATTATTTGGCATTTTATAATTTTGCATAGTAAATTATCTTTTTTCTGCTGCATAGTAGCTGGCTGGTAGCTTACCGGAACGATGCCCATCCGTTACCGGTAGCTCAGCTAGCTTGCACCTGTTGCATTTTATTCCCTTTTTCTTTTAGGTATTTCGGCACAGCAGCTGAGGTGTTTCCCACCTCTAGCTAACGTGTATAGCGTGTCAAACGGTGGATTCCCTTCGCGTCGTTATGGGCGGCGTCTCTCTTATTGCTTGAATTTCCTCTGGATTCTCTCTGATTCCTTCAGTTATTAGCACATGCCCATAGAAAATCAGCGTCTTACCTAGGTTCAATTTTCTCTCCTTTAAGCTTGATGTTCTTTTACCTACGTTGCAAGAAACGGTGGAGATTAGCGTCACGCTCTTCTGTCGAGCAATAGATCAAAAAATCGTCTACCACGCATGTTGCACCATCTAAATCATCTACCGCTTGAATCAGTGTTTGTTGAAAAATTTCACTCGAAACCATGAAACCAAATGGCGAACATATCCAACGATAACGCCCGGACGATGTTGCAAATATAGTAAGGAAACTGGATTCTTCACCTAAAACTACGTGCCAGAATGCGGAAGACAGGTCTACCTTCGTTAAATACTTAGCTTTGGCCAAACGCAGCAAAATGTCTTCTAAGGTAGGTAGCGCATAATGCTCTCTACGCAGAGCCTTATTCAACGGGTTTGGGTCAATATGCACACAGTTCGTCCATTTTCTTCGTACTAATTGCAACCTAGCTAACCCCGTCTGTTGGTTCTTCAACTTTGGCAATCACACCTCCTTTCATTAATTTGTTCAATTCAGCACAGAACGTGTCACGCAACGCAAACTGAATTCTCCTAGCTGGTAGCACAGTCGGTCCTATCAAAGGACCTAACGATAAGTGAGCAATTCCCTCAAATTCTCCCAAACCTGGGCTAAACACTGATGGATACTGATCACTATTATCGGTTTCTCCCTGGCAGGCATGTACCAAAGGATCATGGTTAAAAGTAGCAACACCGAGGTCCTAGATCGAATCAATGCTGAGCATCGGTGTTAGTTCCTCCTTCACAATCACAAACTCCAGCCATTGGGAGGCTTCATCCCTTCGGTTAACGACTTCGGTTGTAGCTGAGCCCTTTGGATGAAGTCTGGAACCATTCCACATGGGCAGACAGTCTTGATAGGACCGAATACGCACCCTGGGACAGTGCTTCCTGGGTAGAATGTTGAAAGTAGCTCTCTTATCTAATTGGAATCACACAGCTCTGCCTTGGATCATGACTTTTCTGGACACATTTTCGTATACCTTTTGAGACATATTAACAATTGAATGTTCTACGTCCGTGGCTGACTTGTCAAGAACGAGCGCACTCACACTTGTTGTTAGACAGCAACGAGTAAACTGCTTCCTTTTTTCACATTTGACGCATTTTCGTTCCCACGCGGACACTGTTCGCCGGTGCCTGGGTGTCCCGCAGCACAAAATTTGCAGATCTCCTGTCTCACCTTGGTAGCCTTCGTTGTTTTGCCTTCGGAAACAGCACGCAATTGTGCGTCAGTTGCGAGTTTCATTTGGTGGTATTGACACGTGGTCGAAGACTCACTGTTGCAGATATCGTTGCACTGCTGGGACGATAAGTTGCCTTGTCGACAAAGCTGTTTTGTCCTACCTTCATCATTGATTCCTGGAACGATCCGATCGCGTATGAGGCTGTCGCACATGTATTTGCAGAAATTGCAGGACCGAGCCAAAATCTTCAACTCAGTGATGTACGCATGGAAGGATTCATTTGGGCCTCTGTTTCTCTGGAAGAAAACTTAATGCTGGTAGGTCTCGTTGGGTTTGGCTTCGCAACATCCACTGAAATTTTCAATGACCGTCCTCATATCATTGGGATCTTTGTCCTAGTACAATGTCTCGAATACATGGCGCGCGTCATCCTCGGCTACGTGTCGAGACATGGCCGGGCTATACGCCATCGGTTGCTCGTCCGAAGGTACTAGTTTCCAGAAATTCATCCACTTGCTTCTCCATAGACGCCATTACTTGCAAACCTCCGTTCGTCTGTGTCATCTATTTGAATAGCGGCTGGTGATCCAAACCGCACCCGAGCGCCACCGGTTGGGTTCGTCTTGAAGAACTCGTTATTTCAAAGACAAACGTTTATTCAGCAATCAGCTCGTCGATAAATACATGTTTGACAAGCCAAACTCCTCGTTATAAGTTGCACGTTTTGAGTCGATGAGGTTCCTCTTTTGATTCAGTTATACAAACAGTGAGTAACTCATACGCATGTCGGCTAATCCGTGTTCAGTAATCGAATCTGTTACGCCCGTCCCACGTTGGCTGTCTGGCTCACTGGTATGACACTCCCATCACAATTTTGAACGCACCCACGGAGTGGTTACGCTTACCTGCTCGACTATGTCCTCGTGATCTACTCGAAGTACGCATGAGGCATGTACTGCGAGGAGTTAAATGGGGAGCTGATCACAGGTTAGTATGGACCTAGTCGTGCAGATACGTACATCTCTGTATTGTTCCTGTGCTTTGAACCGGCGGAGATTTAGTGTTAGTTTGTCCAGGTAATGCTGAGAATAGGAGCGGATTGGAGAATACAATGGTGACGTCGACTCCATTGATTCATTCAGCTCCCTATCGCGCTATATAAAGGGACACAATCTCTACTACTGAAGAGACAATCGGTGCGCAAATTGTAACCGTCACGATTGGTTTGATTTCAACAGTGGGATCATTGGCGCATTGGTTTAGGAGAAAAATGTCTCATATGCTCCACACGATACATCAGTTATGTGCGCACACTATAGATACTCGAGGATTACCCAAACCAAAACACGAGTTGCTCATTTCTTTTGGTGACCACGAATGGTGTCTGGTGATCGAAGGTGCACCATTAGTCGATGCCCATTGACTGGATGGGCCCAGACTGCCGTTGACTTCATGCGTCCTTTCATCACTACCCATACGATTAGTATAAATATGTTTATACAACATGCTTTTGTAATAAGTGTCCCGAGACTTGCAGCTGTTTACAAGTGACTTCTGTGGTTTCTCACTGTCCAACCAACCATTCGACCATTGTGGATTGCCGGAGAATTGGTTACAGGGAACGGACCATATTTCTTTAGCTACGATTTCCTAACTCTGCCACGTGATAACGATACTCCTGTACTTCAATCTGCATCCATGAGGTTAATGGCATAGTTGATCGAATTTATCCATCCACCAAGGAGGTAATGCAGTTGACCTAATCGGGATATCGGTTTAAGAGCATTTAGTCCTGGATGTACCATTATGTTACAGGACCTGTGGCCTGGTAACTGAAACGGGTGTCTACGTCACTGTTACTCAGATGGCCCTTGCTTCCCAAACTTTTTATTGCTTACTATCTTTTTGACCGGGGAATCCGCATGGCACCTAGTCGGAAACCTTACACCACAACATTACTGATACATGGTGTCAATCTCTTGATCAAAAACCTAGCTCATTCAGTTGACATTCCAATGCTGTCCGAATCGCACAAAACCTGCCAAACGTGTAACCTACATCCATATCGGCAGTAAAATGGCCTAACCATCAGCCTCCAGAAAACCCACTCAATCTACGTGAAGGCGAGACGGAACTCCGCGCCCACCATGTCAGATGAACCGGTTCGCTAGATCATCGAGGCTAGTTACTCAATATCGACCTCAAGCAAGCAACATTTCGAGAGGTTATGTGGGCGTTTTCGAGGCTCTGTGGAAGCTTGGAAATCGCTCCCACTTCTTGCCGTTTATTTACATACAAATTCACCTCCCATTGGTTAATTCCCGTCAAGCTGTGTGCTGCTTACGTTACATTTCTATCTGCGATCTTGCTTAAACGGTAATTAGTTACTAGTGCCCAGCACCTTCATCATGGTGGTACAAGCCACATGGCAACGCGACTGTCCTGACTTCCCTTCTCAGATTAATCTTATTCATCTGAACTGTACTGCATAACTAGGGATTTTTATAATTTTGTCAAAGATACAAACCACTGTCTTATGTTGCATGCTACTCATCGAACGAGGTCATCTTGGACTAAACTTGATGCTTTTACTGTGGAATACTTGGAGCGCTGTTCACTCCAAGTCACTCGGTGCTAATGACCCGGTTGTTTAGTTTCCCTATCCTCGCTTTTCATGCCTCGGTAAAACCCTCGACCTTAAGTTCATTCATCCTTCTATCAAACTCACAATTGGTGAATTTGAAATATCAATCTAACGGGAAATTCAAATGTTTTCACCGGCGATATTGATGTTGGGAATGTAAGCTGGAAGTATATGGAATATGTCATGATTATTGGTTTTTGAACCGAACTTAAATCCGCGGTTCTGGAAATCAAGTCCATTGCTTTGTGGAAATAACAAATGTTGTTATAATACATATGAAGCACATTCCCAAGTGACGATTTGGAATGGTGGATAGCATATCTACTCTATCAGCCATACATCGATATTCTAGGGTATTTTCTCTTCAACTGTCTGTTCCACTTCTTTGTTTTGCGAACTATCTCGTCAATCTTTTGTCCCATACTACTTCTTGAAGGCACATCTTCAAATTGCCGCTCATCCGCCTTTCTGTCAATCCTTGCTACTAATCTTTCTATTTGTTCACAGCTGAATCATGAGTAATATCTATGTTACTGAACCGATTACAAACGGAAAAGTTGTTCTCAAGACCACGGTTGGGGACATAGAAATCGAACTTTGGTCTAAAGAGGCGCCAAAAGCCTGTCGAAATTTTGTCCAACTTTGTATGGAAGGCTATTACGATGACACAGCTTTTCATCGTTTGGTTCGTGGTTTCATTGTTCAAGGGGGAGACCCAACAGGTACAGGCGATGGTGGTGAAAGCATTTACGGACAACCATTCAAGGCAAGTTTCCAACTATCAAACCCCTATTCCATCCAACTTTCTGAGATTATCTTTTCGTTATTCTACGCCAGCGTATGTTTAAATCGTTCTTTTTTAAATAGCATTTGCATATACACATTCACCGTTCTCCCCATTTTTTTTTTCATACTCCCGGCAAAGGCTTGTTTTCATTGTGCATTAGTGGTTTTCTCGCATCACATTATTGGGGTCTTCGTCTCAGACCTCAGCTTCCAGTTATCATTTTGGACTACTGCGACTTGATAGCAATCTTTGGGCAGAGTCTAATTGCTAATTGCTTCTATTACTTTTTGCCTCTCTATTTCATTCACATTATTTCAGCCTGTCTTCATCTTTCTCGGCTGTTCAGTACTTCTGCCTAAATCGATAAAGGTGTTCATATCTTTTCCCGTGGTTTTTCTCTAGATTCTGTCAATTCTTTTAATAATACTATCTGGTCCGTATCCTTAGGGATCACAGTCCTTCCTTGTAATTTGAGGGCGCGGGTTCGAGCATGCGTAGGGACCAGTGCGACCCTCGCAGTATCCTTAGTCCACGTGCGACCGGTGGTAGTTGCGCGGCAGCGAAGCGTCGGTACTGCGTACCGATGTATACTACTCATACTGTTGTAACGCTGCGCGGCCTGCTCGCTCTCGCCTGGTTGATTCACGCCTGTTGCTAAATCTGCGCCTTCACGCGTGCTCTGATTTTCGCCTTGGCAAACCCGACCGGAACGAAGACAGAAGACTACTCAGCAGACCAGAGTTGTATTAAGGCAAAGAACGGTCATATTTATATGTCACTATCACCAGGCGGATTCGGCTCTAAGCCCACGCTGCACACCTACTTGTCCGCTGCATCTGTCCGATTCACCGTGTTGCTCGGGTACTACAGTCTTCGTTCGCCTACCCGGCGCATGGCAACGCACGTGATGTCTGACGCGTGATTTCATCAGCTTCCGGTCTGGCCTTGGCAACACGCCTGGTGTCTGATCAGATTTCGGCTGGGCCCTGGTAACATGCTCGTAGAGTCCTTCCCAAGCCCGCTTGATGGTAAACGCGCGAGCGTCGGTTCTCAGCTTTCTCGTCCAACTGTCACCTCCCCTTCCGAATTGAGTCAGCCTGCACACTCTTCGAACCTGAGTGTGTTCGTAGCTTTTCGCCCGGGGATTGATTTGCAGCCGTTGTGGCCTTCTCCGCTTCCGCGCCGGCCTGCATGGTGCATCTGATTTCTGCGGCATTTGTTTCGTCTCACCTGGTTGCTGACATTCAGCTTCCAACCCGAACGTGTCTAGTAGGATGTCCCAATGTAAAGCTGGTGGTTCCTGAGGACCTTGGGTTTTGCCATGATTCGGTCTCAGCTGATTGATGTGCCTAATCCATCTCTCACGTCCAACCATCACCTCGTCGATAACTCTGCCTTTCCTTCCGATAACCGTTCCACTAGACCACCCCTTCGGCCTTCGAAAATCCCGGGCGTAGACCATGTCACCAACATTGAAGTTACGGAGCTTGATCTTGCAATCTTCCTCCTGGTGACTGTTGCCGTGCTTTTCTATTCTTCTTGGTAAAAGATTATCAAACAACGTCCGGATCTTTCTTCCAAATAGTACTTCTGTGGGGGCTTTCCCATCAGGGGAGTTTGGATTCGGAGCATTCCGATACATGCATAGAAAAGCTTGAATTGCATCATGTGAAGCCCTTTTTTGCCCTGCTTTACAGAGTGCACGTTTGAACGTGTCCACAAACCTTTCCGCCTGTCCGTTTGATTGAGGATGATATGGTGGTGAGAACATCTGTTGAATTCCCTTTTCCTTGCACCACTCGCGAAAGGAAGTCGAGGTAAACTGTGTTCCGTTGTCTGTCACTAACACCTCTGGCAGGCCGAAGTATCGGAACAGCTTCTCCAGCTCGTTGATAGTGTGCTGTGCAGTCGGATTGTTTACCGGAATCACATCAGGCCACTTGGTGAATGAGTCAACCAAAACGAGATAGGATTGGCCATTGAGCGGTCCTGCATAGTCTACGTGTATTCGTTGCCACGGTTTCTCTGCCTTAGGCCAAGGGTGCCACTGACACTTGGGAGGAGCCTTCGCTGCAAGTTGACAAGATTCACACTGTTGGCAGAATTTTTCAATTTCCGAATCCATTTCTGGCCAGTAAACAAAACTGCGTGCCAAGGCTTTCATGCGGCTGGTACCAGGGTGCCCCGTGTGGAACTGCTGCAATATTTGCCTCTGCAATTTCCTTGGCACCACCACTCGATCTCCAAACATCAGACAATTGTCCACGACTGATAGGGATGCACGTCGATGGTAAAACGGCCGCAACTCCATAGGTATGCCTCCATTTGGCCAATATGTTCGTACACAGTGCATCGCTTTCTTCAAGATTCTGTCCCGTGATGTCTCCATACGAATAGTGTCGGCTGTTACTGGTAGTCTTCTCACATTATCAGCCAGGATTCGTTGGACTTCTGCTTCGAAACTGATAGCTGCAATCACACAATCATCATTCTCCTTTGGGTGTGAACTGATGAGACGAGACAGGGCATCCGCTTGACCGATTAGTTGCGTCGGTTTATACTGTATACTGAAGTCGTAGGCCAGTAGTATGGTCGCCCATCGTTGCAGTCGGTTTGCCGTAAAAACTGGAATTCCTTTCTTTGAACCGAATATCGACAGAAGAGGCTTGTGGTCAGTCAGGAGCGTGAAATGTCTGCCATACAGCATCTTATGGAACCGTTTCATTGCGAAAACAATCGCGAGCGCTTCCTTCTCTATCTGGCTATAGTTCTTTTCAGCTGGCGTTAGTGACCGTGCTGCGTGCGCGATAGCCTTCTCTCCTCCATGCGGAAAAACGTGGGAAATAACTGCACCGACACCATAATTTGAAGCATCCGTAGCAACGACAATTTTGAAATTCGGATTGAAGTGAGTCAAGAGTAGATCGGAAGTGAGAGCTTCTTTGACTGTATCAAAAGACTGCTGGCACTCCTTCGTCCATTTCCAATCCTTGCCTTTTATCAGTAGCTGGTTTAGCGGACCTCTGGTTTGGTGAAGGCTTGGTAGGAAAGCACTGTAATGGCTAACGAGCCCAAGAAAAGAGCGGAGCTCTGCAATGTCTTCTGGTGGCTTCATCTTTTTGATGGCTTCAATATTGGCGGGATCCGGGCGCCGGCCATGTTTGTCGATAATGAACCCAAGAAATTTGACACTTTCTAATAGGAACTCACATTTTTCAGCCCGTAATCGGAATCCAGCTTCCTGAAGACGCGAAAGCACTCTCTCCAGTGTCTGTATCAAGTCTTGCGGATCTGAGCCCATAATCAGCGCGTCGTCCAGGTATACTGCTGTATTTGGGATATCGCTCAGCAGGGTATCCATTATTTGTTGAAAAATGGCCGGTGCGGTTTTCACTCCAAACGGCAGCCGGTTGTACTGAAAAAGTCCGAGGTGGGTATTTACTGTCAGCAATGTTCTGCACTGATGGGCAACTGGGATTTGCAAATACGCATCAGCTAGGTCAAGTTTTGCGAAACATTTCCCCCCATTGAGTTTGCTGAACAAGTCTTCTGGTACCGGCAGGGGATACTGATGATCTTCCAACACAGAATTCAAACCTGTCGAGAAATCAGCACAAATACGGACTTTACCGTTTCCTTTCTTTACCACCACGATAGGTGCTGCCCATTCGGAATAGTGAATTCGTTCGATTATCCCTTCAGATTGTAGTCGATTTAACTCGGCTTCCACTAAAGACTGGGTTGCGTAGGGCACCGGGCGTTTCGGTCTAAAGACTGGCTTGGCGTCTGGTTTAAGGTTCAATGAGGCAGTAGCTATGTTGCAGCATCCGAGACCAGGTTGAAACAATGCATCGTGACGTCGTTTTATCTCGGCAATCTGACTTTGAAACATCGGGCTTGAAAGTGACGGTTGTGACAGCAGATTGACTTGCGGTGGCTGACATATACTGTTCACTGATTTATCAAGCAGTTTCAGTTCATCCATCCAGTCGAGCCCCAACAAATCTAACCCTGGCTGGTCTGTCACGAAACATGTCGTCTGGATTTGTTTATCGCGAAAGTTTACCTGACAATTCAGTTCACCCAGCAATTTCAACGTACCTCCTGAAGCATTCCGTGCCGTGTGGTCCGTTTGTATGAGTGTTGGTCGCCCCAGCATGCACCAAGTGTCTCGAGATATCAGGGTGATATCAGAAGCCGTGTCAATTTGTAAATTGACTTGGAAGCCGTTGATTTTCACAATTGTGTATTTGCGCTTGCTGGCCCCGTCAACCTTGAATGTTGCGGTGATAGATCTGGTCAAATTGGGACGCCGGAACGGTTTGGCATTGTTACGCATCTTCTTGGTCAGAATTGGACGAGTCGCCAGGCAACACGACTCCTTATGCCCTTTTCTGCCGCAACGGTTGCAAGTGTGAGTTTTGAATGGACACTCGCGGGCAAAATGCCACTCTCTACAAAACCAGCATGCAGTGGGAGGTTTAGAATGCGTTGAACTCACGTGGGAAGCTTCTTTTCGGGGAGTACGGCTGACTGCACAGACAAAATCTTGCTCGCTCTGCTTGGACAACTGCTGGATCATTGCAGTATCGTGTTTCAGATTCGTCATGCGTTGGCACTCACCGGTCACTTGCTGCAACGTGACATCCGGATTCTGCTCAATTTTGTTCAGTATTCGTGTTCGAATATCGGCGTCTTTGGATGCTTGTAGGCCACAGATGTATATGAGGCATTTAAACTGATCACTTGTCATCTTGTGTAGTTGTGACCGTTCGCACTCTCGATTCACCCGGCTGGAATAGTCGACCCAGTCTTCGTCTTCTTTTTTGGTTATTGTCAGACACTTGTACCGGATGTTGAACAAAGAAGTCTGTTCTCCGAAAATCTGCGACAGGACTGCAACCACTTCGTCGAAGGACAAATCGGTACTCTTTTTGGGTAAGATAAAATTGGTGAACTTCTCGTGTTCGGCAGCACCC